GGCCTGACCGCTCGTTACGGCAGAGGAGGCTCCACAGCGCACGGCTTAAGGGGAGTAAAAAGTTTTTTGCAGATTGCATCAGGATGATATCGAGAGCATCAGAACATTCACATGAGTGTGAGTGTGTGTTGGGGGGGGGGGTGAGAGGGGGGGAGAGAGGGGGAGGGAGAGAGGGGGAGAGAGAGAGAGAGAGAGAGAGACTATGTGAGTGTGTGCATGTGTGGCTGTGAGTGAGCCTTGTGGGTGTGTTATATGAGATTCACGTCTCGATGCATTCTGCGTGAGTCTTGCCAGCGTGACCGGCCCCGCCTGCCCGGGCTGCAGTCGTGCCGTCACGCGACGTTTTGAAAAAATAAAAACTTCTTTCGTGAAGAATAATAAGCGAATGAGAGAGGTAATGCGCCCACCTCGGGGCTCGCTAGGGTTTACAACAACAGCTCGGGCGGGAAATATGAAATGACCCGAGACGCTTTCGACGGTGACGAAGGATGGCGTCAACAACGCAGAACCCCGTGTGTAACGCTCTACCTCTGCCCCTCTGCAGACCCTGCTGCTGCTGGCAGCGCTGTCAGCGCTGACCTCGGCCCAGAGGCTGGCCGGGCCCAACCCCAACACGGTCGACGAGTACGACTACGAGGACGGCGGCCTGCCCGCGCGGCCGCAGCCCCAGCCGCGCTCGTACGCGCCCAACCAGCCCCGCCTGAGCGCCTCCCAGCCCAGGCCCACCCCCGTGCCCATCCTCAAGCAGATCAACAGGTGAGTCCGCCCATCAGTAGCGCCAACGGCCGGGAACTTCTGACCTAGTTTCTCTCGGTGAATGAATATTTCCCCTCGCGATAACAAGCTTCTCCGCCGCTCCTGTCCTATTTACTTCATATATTTTTTTTCGGATTTTTCCTTCCGTGACCGAGGTGAAAAAAAAAAACCTGCACCGACAGCGAGATGAGCGAAAAAAATTAAATATGTATTTCAAGGCGCCATTATCGGATGGCAAACGATACAAACCACGTACGTGATATTACTGGAATGCGCGCGTCCCGGCCCGCACAAGAGCAAGCCGTCTGCAGTCCTGGAGCAGCCGCCTGGACCCTCGCGCGCCAACAAGGTGCGGGAGGAGGGGGGGGGGGGCAGCGGGGGTGCCACCAAGCGCTACATCGGGAAAGTAGAGCATTCGATTACACTCACTCGGCCGGGCTGGGCTGGGCTGGGCGAGACTTGGCTCCGCTTAGGATACTCGGGCTCGGGCGACCTAGACGCGGCCGAGCCGCACCGAGCCGCGCCGAGCAGCCGCGCGCCGTTTAGAGGATTCTGAGTGCAGCACTTGCGGTTTCATAACGCGGAAGACAATAACAAGGCATAGGAATGCTCGGTCGGTAGTGGTTGAAAGGGGAGGGAAGTGGGGATGGGCCGTGTCGGTTTTGGGGGGAATTACGACGTCCACTAAATAATTCTCCCACGGGGCGAAGTTTCTTTTTTTCCACCTTTTTTTGTGTGTGCTTTTATCTCTAGCTACCGCTTGCGGTGGAAGGTTAATTATTGGTCGTTTATTGATTTAGAGCGGACTGGAAGGCACCCCGGTCGCACAGGTTTATGACTGCGAGGCCGGCCGTTAAACGGTCGAAACGGTCAGAAATTGAGGAGAGACGATGATGAACAGTTCGCGGCGAATCGCCTTGCTAAACACACGCGCGCGGCTGCGCGCGGCGAGCAGCCCGCCACCGGTGCGGCTCGGCCCAGACCCCTTACGACACGCGCAAGGTGATCTTAATTTTTGTATTTTTTGAGGTTACCGACGTGGCGTGGTGTGGCGGCCGGGGTGTGTCCCTCCGGGGACGCCCCCTCGGGGCCCGGGGCTGGCGGGCACGGCCGCCGGCCGCCAACGTGTGGCAACGTCACTTGGGCGACGACCGGGACCGGCGGGGCTACCGCGGCGACCCCCTCGTCGCCGTCCCCGCGCATATGTGCTACCGCGGGCACATTAAATGAGTGGACCTGAAACGAACGTGGGTCAGGGCGTGGCGTGGCAGGGCGATGCGGGGCGACCAGGTCAGGGCTGCCCAGCACGCACCGCGGTGCCACGGACCGGCAGCAAGGGTCACCCTCCCTAACGAACGATACAGTCCCGCGCCATAAACCGTCCATAACTCGCCACAAAAACGCGCCCATGAAGCGTTTTTTTGCCACATCTGCGTTACGTTTATTTTTATTAATTTCGATCGGTGGGTCTGCGCCGCCGGGTGGGTCCTATCCCGCGCCGCCGCGCCCCGCCGCGGGTCCTGCCGGTCCAGTTCAGATAACGCGGGACGCATTCTGTTACAAGGGCGGCTCGCGGGGAGCTTTACGGCCGTGTGAAAGCGACGCGCGGACGAGCCGCCGCCGCCGTGGCGTGGCGCTGGCGCTGCTGCTCGTTTAGGACGGCGCCGCGCTGTAAAACAAACCGATGAAGCGATAGGCGGCGGTACCTTGCGCACGACCGCATATTACAGTTTTTAACTTTACGCTCTGAAAACTCAACAGTGTACATTGTATGCTGAAAAATCAGCGATCATTGATGATTGCTGATATATCAGTGTACATGGCATGATTGCTGAAATATCAGCAATCATTAATGATCACGTTTAGGTTTTTAGCTAATATTTCCTTTCAGACGGGTGTGATCGGAAAGTGGATAGCATTTCCAGATTCCTCGTGAAAAAAGCATTCAAACGAGCTACTATGAGATAGGGTTCAAATTGACCGCTAACATAACTTGGTTTACATTACCGACATTTTCTAGAGGCGGACCATTTCGGTAGACAACCCTATCTCATAGTAGCTCGTTTGAAAGCTTTTTTCACGAGAAATCTGGAAATACTATCCACTTTCCGATCACACCCGTCTGAAAGGAAATATTAGCCAAAAACCTAAACGTGATCATTAATGATTGCTGATATTTCAGCAATCATGCCATGTACACTGATTTATCAGCAATCATCAATGATCGCTGATTTTTCAGCATACAATGTACACTGTTGAGTTTTCAGAGCGAGTGTGTGCTCTGTTTTTGTTCAAAAATATAAAAAATTGCTTATCGTTTGGCAAAACGTACGTCGTTGTTCAAGCAATAATAACAACATCACAGAAGAAACCGTAGTGCGTTAGCCGCACTGCTGACTGCTGTACTGAGAGGGGAGTGGGGGCGCTTGACGGGCCTGACCGCTCGTTACGGCAGAGGAGGCTCCACAGCGCACGGCTTAAGGGGAGTAAAAAGTTTTTTGCAGATTGCATCAGGATGATATCGAGAACATCAGAACATTCACATGAGTGTGAGTGTGTGTTGGGGGGGGGGGGGGGGTCTTGAAGAAGACGATAAGGTGATGATGGGTCAACTTGCCGGTCTCACGGGTGATGACTGATGTTGGGGTGCCAGATCTGGACAGAGCGCCGCTCTGGTCCCGCGCTGCTGGATATAAATCCCGGCGACGGACGCAGAGCTCGCTCAGCGCGATGCTGATGATGATGGATTGGGTGCGGCGAATACCCCGCCGTCCAGAGACATCAACACGTGCCGCAACAGGCGGTGGTGTCGCTACTCCGCGTCCAAATCGCTATTCAAATTGGGGTAGCAGGGGAGGGGGCAACCATTAAATCTCGTTGAAATCGCGACGGGGCTGCCTCAAAGCTAGCACCCTGACGCCACACGCACGTACCGTACATGCTCGAAGAATGAAACTCAAAAGAGTTTTAGACAGTTAAACATTTCAAAAAAATGGTTTTAAAAAATGTTGAAAAAATTTATTGGGAAAGGGGGGGTGGTGGCACGTGCACAGGGGTAGCCCTCGGGGTGGCCCGAGGCCCCGGGACCGACGCGCTGCCAGACAATAGGGAGTAATGCCTGACCGGACCGGCGCCCGCCCCGTCCTGCCCCGCCCCGCCCTGTCTTGCCACGCCACGCCCCGGCGTCCTTGACGCAGCGCCGCACCCCGACGCCTGAAACGGCCACGCTCCGCCCTTCCTGCGAAGTGCCCCTCTCCTCCTCCTTCGTCACCCCCCTCGACACGCAGCCGGCCGCCGCCCGCCCGCGGCTCGCGGCTCGCCGCCGAGGAGGCTGGAGCTGTGTTGTTCACATCCGGTTACAAGCGCACAGCCGCAGCGGCGCTAATGTCAATGGGATACAGTATCGCCGGTCGGGGCGGTAAAACCGACACTAATATGAATCGCAAATTAATTCGGTTTAGCCGCACGGCGATCCGCGGTACCGGAGTAAAGGTGTATACATACACACACTCTCGCGCGCAAAGTGATTTCCTCGCTCCTTCAAACTTAAACAGATCATCGAGTCACTCCAAATCCCCCGAACCAACGCCTTAGCAAATACGGACCTTCTTGGAGACTCCATCCACTCCCCAAATCCACAGTAGTACGTCGCCCCCGTGCATTACACACGATGCAAACAGTGGCATTTCGACATATTTATTACCCCTCGTTGGGGGATACCCCCCACCGCACCGTAGGCCACCTGCCCCTAGTTATGGCTTGATTGCCTCCCCGCCACGCGGGTGGCACCGCGGCCGGCCGCGCGGCAGTATTGAAATCAGGCGTATGATAATTATATTTTCCTGGTCGGCTCGGCTGGACACTTGCTTTGGTGGCGTGGCGGGGCGTGGCGGGGCGTGGCGGGGCGTGGCGCGGCCAGCCGCAATGTTTGGAAATGGGAGCAGAGCAGGGGAGGCAGCAGTGTGTCCCGTCCCGGCCTGTCCGGCATCGCCCACAGCAAAACATTGGGTAACGGCGATCGTACGGCTTGAGCGGCGAGCGGGGCGTGGCGGGGTGGGGCGCTGGAAGCACGCACGGCGACGCACATGGTCGCCGTCGCGTCGTGCCGCCGCCCGCCGTACGCCGCCGTATGATGCGGTGACGTCCCCGCGCTGCAAAAGGAGAGACTGGCCGGGGCAAAAGGAGGCGCAACTGAACGCAACAACTCATATCTACCCCCCCAGGGGGGAGGGGAGGGCGCGGGGCGGGCAACGGAACTGGAGCGCGGTGGTGTGGCGATTGGCGCGAGTGGAGCGCCACGCGATGCGATCCGTGTGGTTTGACGCCGCGGCCCGAGTGTGTGACGCCATTGATTATCGTGCCGTTCGGCCCGACCGCAGCAGCATGCGGGGCGCCGGTTTGCGTTACGGCGCGTCACGAACCAACGGCGACGACGACGACGAGGAGGACCGGCTCGACCAGGAGACTAACCTGCAGCGTCTCTTCCGCAGGCACAACGACGATGGCTCCTACACGTACGGCTTCGAGGGAGCCGACGGCTCCTTCAAGATCGAGACCAAGCTGGTGACCGGCGAGGTGATGGGCAAGTACGGCTACGTGGACGACTCCGGCAAGGTGAGGACGACGGCTGGGCTGGGCAGGGTCTCTGGAAACAGAAAGAGGAGCTGGTGAGGTGCTTTGCCTACACGTGTGTGATTGTGGTGACGTCCGCGCAGGTCCGCGTCGTGGAGTACGGCGCCAACAAGTACGGCTTCCAGCCCGCCGGTGAGGGCATCACCGTCGCCCCGCCCACCCTGGTGGACGAGACCCGCGTGCCCAAGGCGGGCGGCAGGCAGCAGCCCGGCAGCCACCTCAGCCACCTCAGCATCGGCGCGCAGACGCCGTCCCTCGAGTCGCAGGAGGACATCTACGACGACGGTCAGTAGGGCGACGTCCAATGTGGGGCAGGTGCCCGGCAGGTTGTAGACTCTGTACTAACGGCCGTTGCCACGTTCTGCCCGCAGGCCAGTACTACGAGGAGCCCGCCACCGCCGCCCCGCTGCGCGCCGGCCCCGTGCGCGCCCTGCGCCCCCAGACCCAGGCCATCCCCAGGCCGCGCGCCCAGACCCCCCAGTACTTCGAGAACTCGTTCAGCGCCCCTTCCGCCCCCGCCCGATCCTCGCCCATCCAGAACAACTTCGCCCAGTTTACGCAGACGACCAGCTTTGCCTCCTCGCCCTCCTTGTCCGCCGCCAGGCCCCTGCCCGCGCCCAGGTACTCGTCGGCGTCCTCGCTCGGACCCGCGCCCGCGCGCGCCCAGGTCCCGGGCGCCGCGCCCGTCGGCCCCACCTACCGCGCCCTGCCCGCCGCCCCTGCGCCCGTCCGGGAGCAGCACCCGCAACAGGCGCAAGCCCTGTTCGTGCCGCAGTCCCAGCTGCCCGCGCTCGGCCAGCACTACGCCCCCGCTGCCCCCGCGCCCGCCCCCCTGCCCCGCCGGCCCGCCCACAGTGGAAGCGGCGGACTGCTGGACCAGCTTGCCAGGGACTACGCTCTCCCCCAGAACGCGGCCCAGCCCCTCGTCGACACCTCCTTCGGGGTGTACTAGACGCGTCTCTGCGCGGACCAACGGACTGAACATAGACGCGATGCTAGTGCTAGTGCCAATACTACACTGCATCTGCTCTACTGCCGGCGAGAACCGGGCGATGCAGTGTTGCCACTGCCGGCGAGAACCGGGCGATGCAGTGTTGCCAACGTGAACAGGAATGTCGCACCAGGATGTGGGGTGTTAAGCCAACGAGGTTGGCTACCCTGCGTGGGACTATTACGCGCCTTTCCAGTACGGTTACATTGCGGAGAGAAAACAGACCAGTTTGTAACACGTTATCAAAAGACTTTAACAGTGGTTTTCTTTCACCACAGTGACTGCTCGCTTCCCGGAAGGGGTGGTTGGTAAATACCCACCACCAGAAGATGTAGTACATCGGAGTGGCGTAGTCAGAAGCGAAGAATGACAGCAGATTGGTTGAGTCTTGCCTTGATCCTAAATATAGTCTTAGCTCTCAATTCTCAGCGAGAGCTATGTGTATTGTGATAAGTTACCTACGATATAGGAATAAGTTTTCAGAATACGTGTAATACATGGTCTTTTAGTTTCATTCGTCGTTTTGAATGACACTCCCAAAGATCTTGTGAAATGCCTACGTCCATGAACTTAATAAACATAATTGTGATATTGACTTGCGAAAAAACAGAATCATACCAATATCTGCAATTATATTCCGCTTAAAATTTATAATTTAAGACGATGTTTTAAGACACCTGTTTTACATTCAGTAATTGTTTTTTCCTTATTTATGTCTTGGTATGCAACCCGATAAATAAAACGACGTTTTTGTTATTACAAGAAATGTATGTTTTGTTTGTTTTTCCTGTTTCGAGTTTCCCTTGCGGCACCTTTCCAATCACACTCGGCTGCACCAGGAGGGCGTCGTCATTCCAGGGAAATATCAGAGCGCTCTCTGTTGGTGAAGGTGGCCGGAGCTTGTGAGCTCAACTTCACTGGTGTGTGTTCGTCCCCCCCCCCCCTCTCTGGTATGGTATGTCCTATCTTACGGCGTGTGTTGCAAGGCGTGGCGGCGCGTAGTGGTCACGGCAGTAGCGCGGCGCCGTGGCCGCGCGTCGCAAACAACAACAGCATCGTCGCTGGCCGCGTAGGGCACGCCTATGCCCCAGCTCGCCATCGAAGCCTCTGCTGAGCCAAGTCCGAAAAGTCACGCCACCTGGTTGGGGCATCGCGCGGTGTATGCGGCTGCGAAGAACTTGAAAACGTTCCCGAACGCATCCTCGCTGTAGTAGGTATAGTAGGTCCCACGCGTCATCCTCTGCCGTAGCCTTGATCGCCCGGACCGCCTCGCCCCGGGGCACGTCAGGGGTCAGGGGTCAAGGGCCCGACACATTCGGCTCTCGTGTGCAAATTAGACAACACAATCAGCACGCGATCGCACACGAGCCTTTAAAATTATTTTATTTTTCAGTCGTTTCCGCGTGCCGTGAGTTTGTTTCGTGAGTCACCATCACCATAATTTGCTCATGTGCCGAGTGAGAGGGTGTGGTGGAATATGGACGACACTCCGCGGTGACGGAGAGACAGGTCGACGACGGAATGGGAATGTAGTTTGGCCGTGCTGCTGTATACTGCAGCGGCAAAACAAAGGTGGTAAGTCTCACCTGTAAAAGGTGTATAATTACACCTCGAACAAGTGTTAAGGGTTTCAAATGCATTATTAAAACTGAACAAGGCACTAACACTGGGGTTCCTTATAGGGATCTTTAGTCTATTTATACACTGCGGCATAAATCGCACTAAACTCGACATTTGCTGAACACACCTGCAAGGGTGTTGTGGTCCATACCAGCATACCAGCGGGTACTTTATATCGGGGGTGACGCGTCGTGTCAAATATATTCGACGCCTATGCTGAAAATGTTGCGCTGCTGCAATGTATGGTGATGGTTTTCACCAAAGTGCAAGAGCAGCGGCAGCAGCGGTAGGCACAGCTTATTCGCTCGAGCAGCGCACTCACCCCACATGAACACAGGAATACGACGGGCGAATACGTTCGGCTGTCGGGGTGGGGCAGGTCGGGGCAGGCCAGGACACGCCTGTTTGACCTTAGCTCGAGCGGGGCGGGGCGGGGCAGGGCAGGGCTGGAGGTACACCGTCTGGGAACACCTTAATGCCGCGGGGCGTAACGACCCGTTTTGTACCGGTAATGTTTATTAAAGGCGCCCGCTAATGGCCACCGGGCCAGCCGGACACAATGGCGACGACCGCGTGTATTTAAGTGTATCATCACAATAACAGGAGAGCGAAGGGGGGGGGGAGAGAGAGAGAGCCTTCGGGCAAGGACACGGGGAGAGCAAGATGGATGACCTGGCAGCAGTGTGACTCGGCGAAAGCGTATCACCCCCCCACTCCCCACCCCCCTGTTCGCGAGCGATAAGACAGTGCCGAGAGGGGGAAATTAGGAAATTACTCAACCAGAGTACAGGCCCCCCTAGTAAAACGTAGTTGTTGACCGACAGTCGACACGGTGTCAGAAATAAATTTCGATGATTTGTTTATGCTCTCTGGACACTGGACTTGTCGGGCGGTACCATTTCAAAATGTTAACGTGATATACTTTTAATAAAATATACAAGACATATGTATACACTATGAAATTGATGGAATTGATGCGTACATATTAATTAAAGAAGACATGTCATATATACACTTTATTTAAAGTTTGCCATGCACACATTTGAGTTGGCAGAATACATAGGCACTATTTTACCTCGTATTTCGGGACTAGTTCACCTTTTTATAATTCGCATTGTTTCGAGCATAGGGGGTACGAATTATTTCGCGAACTAATTCACCGTTGGTCAGCATAGAGTGGGTGCCTTGTGCTGGGTGGGGGCGGCTGCTAGGAGACTAGAAGGCGGGGGGGGGGGGGAGGGGGACTCCCCTTTCCGCTGCGTGTCGTGCCGGAGGTCAAGGCGCCACGGCAATAAAAGACCCCCCCCCCCCTCCCGAGTAAGGAGAGGCGGGGCGGGCGGAACCTTACTGATTTGGCTCTCTGCCCAGAACGAGGCAGCTCTCGCGATATGAGTGTGCGGTAAGACTTGCAAAACGGATCCATGTGCATCTCTGAGTGCATGGGCCGAGCGCACGCAGGAGACAACGACCCGCGCTGTCACTCCAGGCAGGGTCGGCGGCCGCCCCGCCCTGCCCCACCTCCCATGTCGCGGGCTGAGCAGCTTGCAGCTACTTTTTCCGAATAGCCCTGACCGGTCAGATAGGTATGCAGCCAGAGCAGAGCGCGGCCAGCAAAAGTTCACGTTCACCTTTTGCAGCGGCGGCGCTGGCCACGTGGTGGATGTGGATGGAAAGCGAGAGTGTGTGCGTGTGTGCGAGCCACACTACCCCGCTGAGCTCTCTGTGTTCATAAGCACAAGCGCCATCGAATCGATATGCATCATACCTCGAATACATCTAAAAATATCGAGCTATATTGACGGTATTTATCAAGGCTGCCACGATACATTGATGTCGATATTGTGATGCCGAGATGATGTCGAATCGATATCGAGATGTAGCAAAGCCGTGCGCCACGGCGCCCACGGAGACTTCGACGCAGGTGCCAGGTATAGGGACCGTCTTAAAACCATAGTTTTAATTGCTTCTTTAATTAAATGCCTCGGTAATATCTCGCTCCCCTAAGACTCCCCCTTCAATTGTTAATCTTCTGATCATTTCAAAATATTTTAAATGAGTGGACAATAGCATTTGGAACGTACGGGTAGTACTTCTTACACTCTCGAGTGGTTAATGCCAATTCTCAATCTTCCCATCTTATTAAATCGTGTTTACTCCAGCAACTTTTTTTCTAAATCAGAGTAGACCGTTTATTATTCTAAAGTGGCTCTACGTCTTAATTTAGTTTCACAAATGTTATAATGATACAATTGCTGATTTTGGACTTTAACTTGAGGTTACTGTGCATCATGGGGCTTCGCGACGGGGCCCTCGCGGCAGCGGCGAGCATTGTCCCGTGCACCGACGGCACACACAGAAGAGACCCCTGCGGTGGTGTCGGCGCGCGCGCGCGCTCACTCCTCTCTGCCCCGCACCGCCACGCCCGGATATGCAAATGAGACATGGACGGGCCGAATTCTCGGAGAAGGAGCAGCAGCAGGGCCCGCGCGCGCGCTTGCGTAACGCCTGCAATACCATACCACGCACCATTGTTGGCACCTTCGGCCCGCGGGGTGCCCGGCCCTGCCCGGCCCGGCTGGCCGCCGCACCTGTGCCCGCCAGCGGTCGCGCCGGCGGGGCCATTGTGAGGGAGGATTTGACAGGGGAGGGGGGGGGCGAGGATCCCCGGCCACGGTTAATGAGGATGAGCGCACCGCTAATCGGCCACCCTATCGACGGCATCCTCCCCCGCCGCGACGACCCCTGCAAGGAATACAGCTCCTCAATTTCATTGTCCGTTGTTAATCTGAGGGGTTCTTATTGTTTGGTGAGGTGGCAGATATGGGCGCTAAGGTTCGTATATTTTGTTGTTGAACCTTGCTTCTATGTTTAGTACCAAATGTACACTCTGTAAAGGGACAATTTTATTTCCTAAAAAGGGAAGGGTTTTTTTTCGTGTACATTTAGACCGGATAAAATTCTGTTCCTATACCTATAAGACTTGGATCAGTTCCTGAGAAAAACATAGCAGGTTCTGCCGTCAATGTTTTTTTACAAGTGCCTTAACATTGAAAAAGTTCAGAATTAGGGACTTGGAGTACGGGCTGATCCTCATTTCGGAGGAAGAGAAAAACGACAACATAACGAGACATAGTGGTGTCAAAATTTCTGTTGCAGTTTTTGAACGGTGCCCCGCCGCAGCGGTGTGGTAGTGCGTCACAAAGGAGCCATACATCTCCTAAAAAGCGCGGCGGGCGGCGGCGGGCGGCGGCGCGCGGAGGACCGACACCGCGGCTGAGCGCCTAGGCAGGCGGCGCCCAGGCGGAACTCAAAACAACGCCGTGCGTGTGAGAACCGCTGACCCCAATGCGTATGTGCGCGCGCTCGCGGGCTGCTCAGCCAGAGATCTGGACGATAAATTTGAGACATTGTCTTTTCTTTATACGCTGACAAACCCCTGCTTTGTCGTGAGTGTCGACACAAACGCTTCAAAGAATACCTTCGCGCGACATCCTGGTTGGAATCCCTTGGGATTTGACGTGGTCGCACACTCGCGCTTCCCGGTCATTATGTCGGGCGTGCAGAAAACAGTTGAAATTAGAAAAAAAAATAGCCCTTTAAAAACATAAAATGTGAAATTGTTCTAATTTAGATTTGACATTAACACTGAAAAATATGTCCGTAAATGTACCAATATTTTGTAATTAGCAAATTTAGGTGCTGAACTCAACTCACTAATTTACCAATTACAAAATGTGTCTTCCTTTACAACCTCCAGCTCTTGCTCGATATGGTACGACATCTTCCATAGAAAACAACTTTCGTATAACCGGGTACGACCGTTTTTCACAGTGAACAAGAAATGCTAGCAAACACACACACATCACATCCCAGCTTAGAGAAAAAACTGCGTGCTGCTCTCTTGTGGTGTGTTCCTGTTCATATTTCTCTAGCGTGGGGTCGGAAAAATAATACAATGATTCGCATTGTGTGCCACCCCCGAATCAGGAAGAAACAGGGAAGGGGTGGTGTGGGAGAAACGGTGAGACACGGGAGACAGTTAACAACGAAGTTAACAAATCACATCCTCCAGGGACTGCAGTCTCCATCTAGGGAGAGCGTCCCGTTCTGTAGCCTCCAGCAGCGGCCAGCCTCAGGTCTGGAGCT